GCGGCAGTCGCTGATCGGTTGGTAAGGTGGATGAGTCTAGCAGCAGTCGCTGATCGGTTGGTAAGGTGGATGAGTCTAGCAGCAGTCGCTGATCGGTTGGTAAGGTGTATGCATCTAGCAGCAGTCACTGATCAGTTGGTAAGGAGGATGAGTCTAGCAGCAGTCGCTGATCGGTTGGTAAGGAGGATGAGTCTAGCAGCAGTCGCTGATCGGTTGGTAAGGTGGATGAGTCTAGCGGCAGTCGCTGATCGGTTGGTAAGGTGTATGAGTCTAGCGGCAGTCGTCGCTGATCGGTTGGTAAGGTGTATGAGTCTAGCGGCAGTCGCTGATCGGTTGGTAAGGAGGATGAGTCTAGCAGCAGTCGCTGATCGGTTGGTAAGGTGGATGAGTCTAGCAGCAGTCGCTGATCGGTTGGTAAGGAGGATGAGTCTAGCAGCAGTCGCTGATCGGTTGGTAAGGTGGATGAGTCTAGCAGCAGTCGCTGATCGGTTGGTAAGGCGTATGCGTCTAGCAGCAGTCACTGATCAGTTGGCAAGGTGGATGAGTCTAGCAGCAGTCGCTGATCGGTTGGTAAGGTGGATGAGTCTAGCAGCAGTCGCTGATCGGTTGGTAAGGAGGATGAGTCTAGCAGCAGTCGCTGATCGGTTGGTAAGGTGGATGAGTCTAGCAGCAGTCGCTGATCGGTTGGTAAGGTGGATAAGTCTAGCAGCAGTCGCTGATCGGTTGGTAAGGTGGATGATTCTAGCAGCAGCATTTATAATAGACTGAAGGGGGATTAAATCATATTTTATGGCAAATTACTGCAGAGAACCAGGTATAGCCAAGGGGTTTGCATACTTTTTCTTGCCACTGTATATGTCAGGACCACTTTTTTTTTTCAAATGAAATAAATGTAAAAAAAAAACCCCAAAACCAAGAATGTTTAGTGGTAGAGCCTGGAATTCAGGTGAAAAGAATTTTACCTCCACAGTCCTTGAGAAATATAAGAAGTCAATGTATATTATAACTTGCTGACATACAGCTATGACTTAAATATCAGTTTTGGGTCTACTAACTCTTTAGGCTCCACATTGTTTGACAAGAGGAAGACATTTTGGAGATTCGGCTGTTTTTGCTGTTCTTGCCGATGAAAGGGAGAGATGTTTGATGGATGGACAGCAGCAGTTAATGGTGGGATAATTTTTGCCTGCTATAAGAAAGCACCCTCCTGTTTTTGGAAGGAATGAGGATTGTTTTCACAGGTGGGACCAGTAGGCTGCTCTTGGCTCAGATCTGGGAGTGTATTTTTTGACAATCTGGTCAGAGCGGGTCTCCCACACACCCTGTCATTTACTCAGCTAATAATCAGGAGCCATTGCGCTGCTGACTCAGCCGGGCCGACCCAGTCCATATGGAGGAAAAAACTACGAATATTCAGCACTTTGCAACCAAGATACTGCTGGGCTTTTCATTCAGGATGACTTGTGTGGCCAGAAACAAAAAAGTCTGCTCCTCACAGTTTCCCGTGAATTCGGATGTAGAGGAGAAAGGTTTAAAATATCGCTGCCGTATGGCTTGGCCTGAAGAAATGATAGTTGCTGATATTTCAATGTTTCTGTCCTGTTCGTAACATTGTAATTAAAGTGGAACTTCATTCTCTCAGTCAACATAGACTATTTTTAATCCTTATCTCCAAGACTTCTCCAGAGCCTCCCCCATCCTCTGGAACTCTCCACCCCAATTTCTCAGACTATCGCCTACTCTGCTCGCTTTTAGGCGATGTCTGAAAAGCTCTCTCTTCAGGGAAGCCTATCCTGCCCTCAGCTAATAATGGAATCTTCTATTTTTCCTACCAGTCCATCCCCCACAGTTACTACCTTTTGTACCATCAGCCCCTCCCTCTTAGATTGTAAGCACAGGGGGTCGTGCGAGGAGCGGAGAGGATGGTTTGGGTGATATTTAGAGATAAGTTTGGTGATGTAATTTGGGGCGGAGTTATAAATGGCATATCATCAGTGTGTAGGCAGGTGCAGTCTGTACTCCCTTGGTAGCGCAGAAGGGGAAGGAAGGTGTGATGAACTTAGTTCTTCAATGACTTCTTGTCGGCATCAGGAGAGCTGCCTGATTGACCTCCACAGCCATCATTGGTGAGCATAATGCTTATGTGAAAATAATGTAAGACACTGACTCCCTGGGTTGGCTTGCATTTTGTGAGTGGTTAGTGTAAGGGAGAGTGTTGAGAGTTAGGGAGAGGTTCCAAAGGAGTAGGGACAGTGTAGGGACTACGCCTATACTCTGCATTAGAATCCTCCCATTTAGGTGTGGACCATCTAGGCCACATTCCCGCTCCTGCAGAAGCTGTGGACAGTTTGCTCAGCGCTTTACAATATAAAAGGGAGACAATACAGCAACAATACAGTTCAATACAAGAGGGTTAGGAGGGCCCTGATCCTGGGAGCTTACAATCTAAGAGGGAGGGGCTAGTGGTACAAAAAGGTAATAACTGTGGGGGGATGGACTGGTAGGAGGAGTAGAAGATTCCAGTATTAGCTGAGGGCAGGATAGGCTTCCCTGAAGAGAGAGGTTTTCAGAGATCGCCTAACAGTGAGCAGAGTAGGTGATAGTCGGATAGATTGGGGTAGAGAGTTCCAGAGGATTGGGGAGGCTCTGGAGAAGTCTTGGAGATGAGCATGGGAGGAGGAGACAAGAGAGCTAGAGAGCAGGAGGTCATGGGAGGAGCAAAGAGGACGGTTTGGGTGATATTTGGAGACAAGATTGGTGATGTAATTTGGGGGACGAGTTATAAATGGTTTTATACTGTATGTGATTGTTAATGTTTTGAATTGTATTCGCTGAGCAATGGGAAGCCAGTGGAGGGATTGGCAGAGAGAGGGGTGGAGGTCACTGAATGGGGGCCAATGGAGGGATTGGCAGAGAGAGGGATGGAGGACACTGAATGGGGGCCAGTGGAGGGATTGGCAGAGAGAGGGATGGAGGACACTGAATGGGGGCAAGTGGAGGGTTTGGCAGAGAGGGATGGCAGATAAGGAACGGTTAGTAAACTAGTTTTAGCTAGTTCATTCACAGTCCTCATAGAAGACATTAGGTGGCGAGTGATGTAAATCAAGCAGGAAGAGTCCTCCACCATCAGTGACCAAACATAGCCACTTACCACTAAAGGGAAAAGTGGTCAGAAAACACAGGTATACTCAATGGTACAACCAAGCTCTAGGTAGATTCAATCCCCTGGTTCACACCACTTGCTCCACCTTCTCAGGATCTATACTCCGCTATACAATAGTGACATTCCCACTTTCATAGAGTAAGCAGAACCATATCATAGTGTAGCCAACTCCAAAAAAAAACCTTTTTATTCAAAGTATTGCACATACATAGATCCATAAAAAAACAGCGTATCAATAAAACGTTGCTTCAAACCAACAAGATGGCCACCGTCCATTATGGCGCGCGATAACGTCGAGTGGAAGAAGAACCCTTGCTCTGCCATAGCAGCTCCAATGGTCGGAAATGACTGGAACGTAGACCTTAAGGCAAGCCAGTTCTTCTTTGTAGCTGATTCTTTGGAGCAGGTTTATGCACAGGACCCCATAGGCAGTCTGACTCCAGTGCATAAACCTAAAATACTTTGAATAAAAATGTTGTTTTGGAGTTTACTACACTATGAGATGGTCCTGCTTTGTCTGTGACCTGCATGCTTGGCAGTGACCCTATTGTATAGGGGAGCATCGATCCTGAGAAAGTGGTGTGAACCAGAGGATTGAATATGCCTGGAGCTGGTTGTAACCACTGAGTATAACTGCACTTTCTGAACGCTTCTCTCTTTAGTGGTCATAGATATTTGGTATACAGCTATGTTTGGTCCCTGGCGGTGGAAGATTCTTCCGGCTTGATTTACATCACTCACCACTTACTGTCTTCTATGAAGACTGTGAACTTACACCTAATGTCTTCTATGAGGACTGTGAATTTACACCTAATGTCTTCTATGAGGACTGTGAACTTACACCTAATGTCTTCTATGAGGACTGTGAACTTACACCTAATGTCTTCTATGAGGACTGTGAACTTACACCTAATGTCTTCTATGAAGACTGTGAACTTACGCCTAATGTCTTCTATGAGGACTGTGAATTTACACCTAATGTCTTCTATGAGGACTGTGAATTTACACCTAATGTCTTCTATGAGGACTGTGAATTTACGCCTAATGTCTTCTATGAGGACTGTGAATTTACACCTAATGTCCTCTATGAGGACTGTGAACTTACGCCTAATGTCTTCTATGAGGACTGTGAACTTACGCCTAATGTCTTCTATGAGAACTGTGAAATTACACCTAATGTCCTCTATGAGGACTGTGAAATTACCCTCATTGTCTTCTATGAGGACTGTGAACGTAGACTTACTGTCTTCTATGAGGACTGTGAACGTAGACTTACTGTCTTCTATGAGGACTGTGAACGTACACCTAATGTCTTCTATGAGGACTGTGAACGTACACCTAATGTCTTCTATGAGGACTGTGAACTTACACCTAATGTCTTCTATGAGGACTGTGAACTTACACCTAATGTCTTCTATGAGGACTGTGAACTTACACCTAATGTCTTCTATGAGGACTATTAAATTACGCCTAATGTCTTCTATGAGGACTGTGAACTTACACCTAATGTCTTCTATGAGGACTGTGAACGTACACTTACTGTCTTCTATGAGGACTGTGAACTTACACCTAATGTCTTCTATGAGGACTGTGAACTTACACCTATTGTCTTCTATGAGGACTGTGAACTTACACCTAATATCTTCTATGAGGACTGTGAATGTACACTTACTGTCTTCTATGAGGACTGTGAATGAACTAGCTAAGTCATGTTTTGGTGTATGCATGCTTGTAACCTACCCTGGGGTATTTTCAGGGGCGGACTGACAACTCATGGGGCCCCCGGGCAATAGGGCATCATGGGGCCCCTGTGTCCTCACCCACACTCAAACCACACCCAAAAAAGCCTATGAAAGGTACCAGGGACATCTCATGGGGCCCCCTACTGACCCTGGGCCCTCAGGCAGTGCCCGAGGTCCCCAATGGTCAGTCTGCCCCTGGGTATTTTTATAACTGTACTGTAAAGGTTTTTGTTGAAATAGCGCTGCGCTCTGTTCTTCTCTTTTCTGTTCTTTTCTTCTCTTTTCTGTTCTTTTCTTCTCTTTTCTGTTCTTCTCTTCTCTTTTCTGTTCTTTTACTCTCTTTTCTGTTCTTCTCTTCTCTTTTCTGTTCTTTTCTTCTCTTTTCTGTTCTTTTCTTCTCTTTTCTGTTCTTCTCTTCTCTTTCTGTTCTTCTCTTTTCTGTTCTTTTCTTCTCTTTTCTGTTCTTCTCTTCTCTTTTCTGTTCTTTTCTTCTCTTTTCTGTTCTTTTCTTCTCTTTTCTGTTCTTTTCTTCTCTTTTCTGTTCTTCTCTTCTCTTTTCTGTTCTTTTCTTCTCTTTTCTGTTCTTTTCTTCTCTTTTCTGTTCTTCTCTTCTCTTTTCTGTTCTTCTCTTCTCTTTTCTGTTCTTTTCTTCTCTTTTCTGTTCTTCTCTTCTCTTTTCTGTTCTTTTCTTCTCTTTTCTGTTCTTTTCTTCTCTTTTCTGTTCTTCTCTTCTCTTTTCTGTTCTTTTCTTCTCTTTTCTGTTCTTCTCTTCTCTTTTCTGTTCTTTTCTTCTCTTTTCTGTTCTTTTCTTCTCTTTTCTGTTCTTCTCTTCTCTTTTCTGTTCTTTTCTTCTCTTTTCTGTTCTTCTCTTCTCTTTTCTGTTCTTCTCTTCTCTTTTCTGTTCTTCTCTTCTCTTTTCTGTTCTTCTCTTCTCTTTTCTGTTCTTTTCTTCTCTTTTCTGTTCTTCTCTTCTCTTTTCTTCTCTTCTCTCTTTTCTTTTCTTTATTACGTTTGATTAGTTGTCTGCAAATCTTACTAGCTGCTTTGATTGCATTGTTTATATTTATTGTGCCCCAACACGAGTGTTTCTTCTTCTGTTTCACATATGAATTTATAAAATTGTAACATTTTCAAACACGAGGAACACGGAGCCGCTTCTGCTGTAATTGTATTTCCTGCAAGGCTCCCCTGCCTCTGCCCCGTCCTTCTGGGTGTTCATTTCTGATTTCCAACAACAGTTAAAATGCCACGTTAAGCAATGCAATCAATAGCGTAAACCTGTTTTGTATCCAGTCACTGAAACAACTGTTTCATCCCGGTCGGGGAATACCCTTGTATAAAAAGGGAAGGCTTGTAAGGCTTGAAAAGGTCATCCATAACAGCTCAACCTTCTCATAAAGCGATAAGACCGAGCAGCGATGGGCGTTACGTCTATTGTACTCAGAGCCAGGACATCTGCCAGAGAGCGAGACTCCCAGAATCCTTTTCTCTTCCACCGATCTGAGGAACTAACCGATCATTCGTATGCTAATGTAAAGTGTCGGAGCAGATGTGAAACATTTGGTTATGTCCTTGTCTTCTTGTAAGGTTGATACACATCTGTATGGATCGAGGAAGAGGGCGACTTTTGGGACAATGGTTCGTCTCCCTAGGTGGGCTCTAGCATCCAGGGTTCTATTTTGTTGGGGGGGGAGCTGAGGATTTTTAGACGCAGTAAAGCAGAAGGTAGGGGTTGTGATGTACAGATAACCTCACAATTACAGAGTGACAGTTAGGTCACATTATAGGTTGTTACACACCCACTCGTCTCCTGTGGCCCCTCCAAGAAACATTTAATTAGTGCAAACAGTAGAGATTTTACATTCCTTATGATAAACGGAGGCTGGCCATGCATTATACAATTTTCTTGAGAATTTTCTTTAAATTGACCACAAATCATATAATAGGAGGTCAAACCTAAACAACAGTTTCAATTGTATCCAATTAGACAGGCCCTTGCACTACATAGTTGAAGGTAAATCTAAAGGAAATTGGGCAGAAATTGGACAGAAAATTGTAAGAAAATTGTATAGTGTATGACCAGCCTTATGACCAGCCTTACTCTGGACTTTTTCATTAAATGCTAGATGTAGATGCATCAACTTTTGGTGCTTAAAAAAACCCAAGACTTTTTGGTAGAATATTTGTGTAAAATAAAACGATAACCAATAAGGGTTACTGAAAAACAAAATTAAATTCCAAATCTTAACCTCCCTAGCGGTTTGATTACGTCCATATTTCTGTGCTCAAAGCGGTACATTTTTTTGCATGGAAATATATCGTTATTTTATTGTAGGCCTATAATTTTTAGGAATAACTCACTGAAATCTGTCCGAACAAGAGTCTAGTAAACATCCCGGGTATGATAAAATTTTAAGCATGAAATCATAAATTATAATATAATAAATATTCATAAAAAATAATAATATAATTATAATACATGTAATTCATTAATATATTCAAACCAAAAACACTGAAATGTGAAATAGAGCGTCAAGTTCGCACATCGCTGAGCTCAGTCGCAGAATCGTTTTCAGTGTCTGATGAGGAATTTCCCCCACCAATCATTATCACTCAATTCTGCAAGTGGTTCTGATTTACTATCGCTGTTCTCTAGCTGGTCTAAAACCGCGTCTGACCTAAAGGGACGCTTTTTGGACGCCATGGACATTTCTCAGTTTCCAGGCAGAAAGAACAGTAAAAATGCAGGCAGGGCGCTGGACAAAGCACTCGGGACACAATGTATGTGAAATGGTTTGATACAGGAATGGTATACTATGTGATTTTAGTGTATTTAGTGAATGTCACTTTTTAACATTTTTAAATTTCCTGCCGGTTCCGTTCCCAATATGTCCCAACGCTCGCAGGGAACGGAACCCGGAAGACAGATGCCGGCATCGACCGGAGGACATTGCCGGGGACACTGCAGGAGGGACATTGCGGGGAGCGCAGGACAAGGTAAGTGCAGAAGGGATACCGGAGCAACGCTGCAGTGTATTCCCGAGTGTAGCTCAGGGGGGTTACTGCTTCTGGTACTGAAAGTTTACCCCGAGCTACACTCAGGAATACCGCCAGGGAGGTTAACGTAGTTTTTATTAGTTTTGTTGGGGTGGAGGTTGAGTTAGAACCTGTAAATGTACCCTCAGACAAAACATTTCTGCTGGAAGGGTTTAAACCTATGTTTTGTTTTTATTGTTGACTGCGTTCCCATTGGAAAAGTGTTCCTTCATTTCCTGTCTTTACACAACAGGATGGAGAAATTACTCCATGGTGAGGAAAAACTCCTGTTAGACAGTTGTCATCAGGACAGGTGTCCCAATTGAAAAATTCCCCAATATTTTCTAGGGATTTCAGCAGAATTTTGGATTTCTCCACACTTTGTCAATGTTAATGATCAAATAGAGAATCAGGATCTTCCTAATGGGGACATAGACAGCAATAGAAAGCTAAAACAATATGTGAGGAAGAAGAAAAACAAGTGTTTTTTGGAAGAAAATTTGTGTAAAATAAAACGGATCACCAATAAGGGTTACTGAAAAACTAAATTAAATTCCAAGTCTTAACATAGTTTTTATCAGTTTTTGTTGGGGTTGGGTTAGAACCTGAAAATGTACCCTCAGACAAAACATTTCTGTTGAAAGGGTTTAAACCTATGTTTTGTTTTTATTGTTGACTGTGTTCCCATTGGAAAAGTGTTCCTTCATTTCCTTCATTTCCTCACCATGGAGTCATTTCTCCTTCCTGTTGTGTCTTTACACAAAAGGAAGGAGAAATTACTCCATGGTGAGGAAAAATTCCTCTTTGACAGTTGCCATCAGAACAGGTGTCCCAATCAGGGGTGGACTGACCATTTGGAAACTCGGGCACTGCCCGAGGGCCCAGGGTCAGTAGGGGGCCCCATGAGATGCTCCTGGTACCTTTTTCATAGGTTTTTTTGAGTTTGGGCAAGGACACAGGGGCCCCATGATCCCCTATTGCCCAGGGGGCCCCATGAGTTGTCAGTCCGCCCCTGGTCCCAATATTTTCTAGAGATATCAGCAGAATTTGGGTTTCTCCACACTTTCCCAGTGTTAATGGTCAAATGGGGAAGCAGGATCTTCCTAATGGAGACATAGAGAGCAATAGAATAGAAAGCTGAAAGCAATACGCGAGGAAGAAGCCCATGTAAGCTATTTGAATCTTTAACCCCTGATGAAAGGGGAACTTGTGAGTAGGAGTATACTCAGAATTTGTGCTGCCCTAGGCAACACAAAAAAATCCAACGTATCAATCTACTGTATGACCAAATTGAAGGTTTGCATATGCATCAGTGTACAGTAACTTAGTGCCATTCACCCTTCCAACAGCTAAACAAACTTAATCTTCGTCCTAGAAGAAACAATATCTCCTACACACGCATTTACATCTTACCTTTGTGGCTTTATGAGTATGGAAAACGCATCCAGTATTTTGAATAACACTCATGACAAATTTCTCAAGGTTCAGTCTCCATGGGTTTCTTAGGAAATCAGTTCTCGGGACTCTGCCTAGCTCACATTGTATCCAGTATTCAAATTCTTGGACCCTGACTTGGCTGATCACCATCACAGCTTTGACCTTTCCTTTCCTTCCTTAACTCCCCCCCACCCTTCATATATTGCTTTTCCCATTCTTTCTTTATTCACATTCAGGGGCGGACTGACAACTCATGGGGCCCCCAGGTAATAGGGGATCATGGGGCCCCTGTGTCCTTGCCCAAACTCAAAAAAGCCTATGAAAAAGGAACCAGGGGCATCTCATGGGGCCCTCTACTGACCCCGGGCCCTCGGGCAGTGCCCGAGTTTCCAAATGATCAGTCCGCCCCTGTTCACATTTGCATCTTACCCCACCCCACCTCTAGTTTGGTTAATCTTTTTTTCTTCACCTCATCCCACTCTGGGTTATGCTAGTTATTGATTGTCCTCTTGAGTTCACCTCTATAACTAAATCGGAGGGCTAGTCCTGTTCATAGTCCAGGCTGTGGTATGTGGCTTGGGTGGCCTACCCAGTAAACTTACAAGGGGTGTTCAAGTCAACGGGACTTTTGAATTTATATAATAAAAGAACAAATTTCAAGGAGTGGAAACTGCATTTATTTTTCAACATACTCACCTGCTGCATGTATACACTTATCTCAGCGT